GAGGCCATGAAAGATTGGCCAAGACCAACAACACCCACAGAGGTTCGTAGCTTCCTAGGGTTGGCAGGTTATTATAGAAGGTTCGTTGAAGGATTTTCTTCTATTTCTGCACCTTTAACTAAGCTAACACACAAGGCAGCTAAGTTTCAGTGGAATGATGCATGTGAAAGAAGCTTACAAGAGTTGAAAAGTAGGCTAACTTTCGTACCTGTATTAGTACTTCCGGAAGGCACAGAGGGGTATCAGTATATTGTGATGCTTCAGGGGTTGGTTTAGGATGTGTACTCACACAGCATGGTAAAGTAATAGCTTATGCCTCAAGACAACTGCGGCCACATGAGAGAAACTACCTAACACATGATCTTGAACTAGCAGCGGTTGTATTTGCTTTAAAGATATGGTGTCACTATTTATATGGGGTTCACGTTGACATATATACAAACCATAAAAGTTTGCAATACATCTTCAAGCAGAAGGATCTGAATTTGAGGCAGCAAAGATGGTTAGAGTTAATAAAAGATTATGACGTTGATATACTATACCATCCAGGGAAAGTAAACGTAGTAGCCGATGCTCTCAGTCACAAGACAATATCAAGTATTAATGAGCAGACCGTGGAAAAAGAAGGGATGGCGAAGGATCTACGTCAACTAGCTAGTTTGGGAGTTCGTCTTCTTGAAACCCCAAAAGAAGGAATTGTAGTGCATAATGCGGCAGAATCTTCATTAGTAGTTAAGGTGAAAGAGAAGCAGTTCAAAGATCTTACTCTACAACGACTCAAGGAGAAGGTAAATCAAGGTACGACAAAGGGATTTGAGCTTACACAAGATGGAGTACTTTGTTGTCAAAACAGATTGTGTGTACCTAATGTTAATGGGCAAAGAAGGAGGATAATGACAGAAGCACATCATTCAAGATATTCCATCCATCCAGGATCAACTAAAATGTACCATGACTAGAAAGGAGTGTATTGGTGGAGGGACATGAAGAAGGACATTGCAGAATTTGTGGCTCAATGTCCAAACTGCCAGCGGGTCAAAGTAGAGCACCAAAAGCTGGGAGGTTATATGCAGTGTATGGAGCTTCCAACTTGGAAGTGGGACATGATCAACATGGATTTTGTCACTGGTTTGCCTCGCTCGTTTCGTAAGTTTGACTTCCATATGGGTAATAGTTGATAGACTCACCAAGTCAGCACATTTCTTGCCAATTAAGACTGATTATACAGCTGAAGAGTATGCAAAGTTATATATTAAAGAGATAGTTCGGCTACACGGGGTTCCAATCTCTAATTATATTTGATCGAGGAGCTCAATTCACTGCAAAGTTTTGGAAATCATTCCAAAAGAGTTTGGGAACACAAGTGAATTTAAGTACAGCCTTCCACCCTCAAACGTATGGTCAAGCAGAACGCACAATCCAAACACTTGAGGATATGCTTCGCGCTTGTGTCTTAGACTTCAAAGGTAGCTGGGATGATCATTTGCCACTTATTGAGTTTGCCTACAATAATAGTTATCATTCTAGTATCAAAATGGCACCTTATGAAGCTTTATATGGAAGGAAGTGCAGATCACCAATTGGCTGGTTTGAAGTAGGCGAAACTGCTTTATTTGGACCAGACCTTATTCTTCAAGCTATGGAAAAAGTTTAGGTGATACAACAACGGTTAGCAACAGCTCAAAGCCGACACAAATCATAAGCAGATGTTAGAAGAAGAGGATTAGAGTTTTCTATAGGAGATTGGGTGTTCTTGAAAGTATCGCCAATGAAAGGGGTCATGAGATTTGGTAAAAAGGGAAAGTTGAGTCTATGCTACATAGGGCCATATAAGATTATTCGAAGAGTTGGCCAAGTTGCATATGAGTTAGAGCTACCTCAGGAGCTTTCAGTAGTTCATTCGGTGTTTCATATCTCAATGCTTCGGAAGTGCGTAGGTGACCCATCCTATATCACTCCTATTGAAGATGTACAAGTTACAGGGGATCTCACTTATGAAGAAGTACCTATTGCTATTCTGGATCGTCAGGTTAAAAAACTAAGGAATAAAGAAATGGCTTTAGTAAAGGTGCTTTGGAGAAACCAACAAGTAGAAGAAGTAACGTGGGAAACTGAGGAAGCGATGAAATCCAAGTACCCTTATTTATTTGAACCTAAAGGGGAAGTCCAAGGTGCAGAATGGGGGAATTAATAGGTACGCATGAAAGGGTATTTATTATGTGGTTAACAGTTAGTTTAAACTAAGATTTGAACTTATTTAAGCTACCTTATTATGCTAGCATTCGAGGACAAATGTTCCTAAGGGGGGTAGGATGTAACACCCCGTATTTTACGTGTACAAGTTCTACACATATGGAACTTGATTTAGCTTGGTGGTATAAGTAATGAACTTGATTTCCTAGATGAATGGTGACAATAATGAAACTATAAGGGTAACTCCCGTACATTGCAATATTACACGATCGAGTGAACGTTAAATTTTAGAAGTATTTAAATTTTGGATCGAAGGGCTATAT